TTCCCAACCCGACCTGAATTTCTCCCCAGCTCAGGTCGAAAGCCCGGTCCGACCGGGCCGGGTCGGGTGGGACCTGTTGGGTCAACTCAAACCACGAACCGAATACACCCTAAACTGTCAGGTAACCTATGGACTGAAGGGTCAGGTCGATCAGACCCGAGGCAAGGTCATGATCGACCATTCCGCCCGTCAAAACTGCGCGCCCGAGAATTTCGCCTGTCAGATCCGCGTGGATCTGAGGTTTCGCCTGCCAGATCCGCAGGGGCGAGCATTCCGCCCATCAGATCCACGCGGACGTTTCACCTCTTATCTGAGTGGCAGGTTGCCCCTGGGCGGGCCGGGTCGACCCGACCTGCCAGTAACCAGTTTGGTCCGACCACGTAAGAGGGAGAAGGAGATATTTGGGTTTACTGCCTCTTACACAATCTCCATCTGTGCCCTGTGGTTGGTACCTATTGCACCAAACAGAGCTGTTAAAAAGCGAGGGAAAAATGGCAGAGGAGAGAGGGCAAGAAAAGATTTCTTGACCTTCAGAATTCCCAAGGGGAACATGCTTCCTCGCTTTGATGGCTGTAGCTGCTCGTTTCGCTGCTCCTATATAGTAGCCTCTCCATAGCAGCATGCCAACCAGCAGCAGCAGCAATGAAGCCACAGCAGCCACAGCAATGCCAGCAATGGCTGCTGCTGACAGACCACCTCCAGATTCGGAGGTCGACGTTCCAGGTGAGGGGCGGGATGCCAAAGATGAGGAAGAAGGTGGTGGAGAATCAGTTATTGTAGATGGGGTGGTTGTGCCGGGCACTGGTGATGAGGCGGGGAGCACGGGAGGAGGCAAGGGGTGGGATGGACATGAAAGGAAGGGGTTGAGACAAAACACCATACACGTTTGGTGGGAAGCAGAGTTAGTGCAGCAACAGTTCTGCCGATACTTTCAACTGACAAACTGTTCCTTAATGTATAGAAAAAGGCCAATGCACAGAACCACATGCCGCGAAGACAAAAAATGGAAAGGAGGTCAGTCCAGAAACTCTTTGGCTCACGTGATGCTTGCTGGACACAGGTGGTGCAGAAAGAGGGGCACTCGCGGCAAAACGCGCTTTGAAGTTTTTGTTTTGTCACACATGGGGTGGAGTCAGAAGGGCATGTCACTGCAGTTCCATTCAGATTCCTGGATGTGCAAAAAAAAAAAATTGTTGTCCAAGAGAACAAATTGTCGATGCAATGGGACATAAGGACTACGCAACTGAGTTTCATAAACCTGTTGAATAGGAAAAGGAAAACCTTGCAATGTTGCCATAATATTGGGGGGGGGGGGGGGGGGGGGGGGGCGGGGAGGGGGAGGGGTTGTTGAGTAACATTGCTGTGGGAAAATAGGAAGCAACTCTACTCGTTCTTGTGATATTGTCATACAGCATCTGAGATAATGCTCACTACATGCTTACTACAGTATATGCTTCCTAGTGCTCATAGTTAACTAATCCTTTCACACACATGCTTACAAACCAACAGTTTCATGGCAACGCCTGCCCGCATACCTTCAGGCGTTCATACTCCCAATCTGGGATGTTGCTCTGCCAGCCAATTCATGCCGAGAATGGGCATGTGGGGTTTGGCTGCGGATTACATGTCATGTCAACGCAATGAAAATAACACTCACAGGTCACGAAGATTTGTGAGCTTGCCAATAGAAGCAGGAATTGTGCCCACCAAGCTATTGTTGCCTAGGTCTCTGATCAGAGACCAGTGAAGGGCACGGATAGAGAAAGAAGGGCATGAGAAGTGGAAAGAGAAGTGGAAATTGTACTTCTGGTGCAACAAATTCTTCCATGGCGTCACGATACCAATTCATCCATTAGCAGCCAGCTGAAATTCTGACCATATAGTTAGAGGAGGATGAGAACGAGTAGGGTGAGCCTGAACCAAGGAGAACAGTGGTTGCAGTGCAGTAGGCGAGACACAACGAAAAACGAAACTCACAAGCTACGAAGTTTTGTGAGCTTGTCAATGGAAGAAGGAAAACTGCCCGTCAAGGTATTGAAGCCAATGTTTCTAGATTATGAAGGGCATGGATTGGGCAAGAGAAGTAGGGAAAAGATAGATCATGGATGCGCGTTTAATATCTTGTGGTAAGCTTGAGTCGAGCTTATGACGAGCACACACGAGACTCAAACGAGCCTCATGTGAGACTCAAGAGTCTCAAAAGACACGCTCACTGAACGCTCGCTCCAGCCTCCTCAAGCAGGGCCCTCACATAGTCCCCCAGGAGCATCAGCGCTGACACGGCACCGCCAACGATGTCTACAGCTGCAGCCGAGTCTACGCTCGCCGATACTGTCCGCATCACGGCGAGCAGGCGCGGGTCCAACACGGTTCCCGAGGCGGGCACAGGCTGCACTCGCGTGGACACGACAGCCAGATCAGCTGCAGCCATCGCGCAGCGCTGGAGCGGATCGTGAGGCATCTTGCACGGGCTCACTGAGCTCCGTAGAACGGAGTGTGAGTCCGTCAGCATCTCCACAGCATACCCCATCGCCCTCTGCGCGTGCCAGAGCCGACGAAGCGTGGCGATTGGGATCGCAGTCTCCGCCAGCCGCTCCCTCCCCCGCAAGCGCTCCAGCTGCGCCCTCTGCGGCATCCGCAGCCCACCCGAGCGACGACGCCCCTGGTCCCCAGGAGGCGAGTCCTCGCCCGTGGACTCCGCTCCCCCCATCTCCGCTGCTTCTGCCCCCCCCTCAACTCCAGTCGGTGACGCCAGCGAACGGCGGGGGGGGACAAAGGGCGCTGTCGCCCGCTCGCCGAACGATGCCGGTGCCACCATCGGCGGTGGGCCACGGGACCATCCCGCCACCGACACATCCGGGGGCGTCGGCTGCCAGGGCGGCAGTATCTCCGCGGACCGCACGTCCATCCGACGCGGATCGAAGGGACCGGCCGAGGGGAGGACTGGCGGAGGGGGTGCGGAGGGAAGGGACGCCAAGAGGTGCTGGCTGTCAAGGAGCGGGAGAGATGTTACACTGCGGGGAGGGAATGGCGGCGTCGGTGCCTGAGGAAGGGGCAAACGCACGGGCGGCAAGTGCGCCTGCTGGTACTGCTGGGGCGCCAGAAGCTGCGGAGAATACGCCAGAGCCTGCTGGGGTTGGGCGACACTGCGGAACAAGCCCTCGAGAGTCGCCGCGGCCCGCCCTAGGCGCCTCTCCGCGCGGACCCACGGTTACTCCCCCCGCCAGCCCTCCAGCCGACGCGCTGGCCCGAACGCCCGCGCGGCGCCTGCGGAGTCCGGCGCTGCTGCCCAGGCCCCGCCTGTGGGCGGCGCTGAGGCGTTCCTCGGCGGGCGGGATGCTGCTGGCGTGGTGACCGCTGCACCTCGCCACGCGCCACTGGTTCACGTCCAATCTCCACGGCGCGCTCGGGGGATTTCTCCTCGTGTCTCGGGGGCGCGGCAGTCCTGCCCCGCGACTGCCCCGCATCCGCTCGGGAGTCTGTCGGCGAGCCGTCGAGGGGCCGAGGAGCCCGCGCTCCCAATCCCGGCTCGACGGCGCTGGAGGACTCGCCCGACCTTGGGGCGACTTGCTGTCCCCAGTACTCTCCAAATCGGCAGAACGCTCCCGCGCTGGTCGCTCCATCCCGAGGAGGCGCGCCGCACTCGGCACCCCCCACGACTCGGCACGAAAGCCGAACGATGACCAGGGCCGCCCCGAGAGGAAACCACGGAGGCGGTCGCGGAAGACTCAACGCACGGACGGCCGGAGGGCGCGGTCGCGGGGCGGCAAGGCGTGGCAATCTGTCCTCCGATGGAGGACCACTGAACGGATTCCAGCAGGCAGCGAATAGGGCTTTAAATGCCTCGGAACTGCAACGAACAACTGATGAGGAGGAACGGGCGGACGGAACTTATATACCAGGGACCAGGGAGACCCCACGACTGCAACCTCCAGCGAGGAGGAAAACGTCGAAACAAACAGGCGCGCTGGAGGACGAGAGACTGACCCATCTCCCAGATCCAGGGGACGAGGGTCCAGCCGCTTGCACAATACTCGGGCACCGCTGGACACCCACCCCCAGGCAGCCCAGCAGTTGTCCCCGGAAGAACTGGCGAATGACCCCTCCAGATTCGCCGTCATCGCCACTTGGGACGTCGCAGTTCTCTGCGACAGTCGCCAACCCCCTCTCTCCCGCCGGTTACCCCCCCAAATCCGCCAACTTTTCGCGCTCGCCCTTCTGACACCTCTCCTTTTCCTCGCCAAACATCCAACCTCCATCGAGGGTTGGATCTTGTTCCTTTACCTCCCGCGCCTCACACTTCGCCTACCCTCGCCACGACGCCCTGACTGGCCCGCGACGGAACGACGACTTCGACAATTTCTCGCGGGCCAGTGGGACACACTGTATCAAGCAGCTGCCTCTGCTGTCACCCTGCCACCCCCTCCCCGCCACGTACCTGACACTCTCGGGAAAATATCCCGCGCCGAGGGCTTGGTACGACGAGGCAGTTTGCGACGGGCACTGCTCGCGTTGACTTCGACCCCAGTCAGCAAGTCCACCCCCACGGTCCTGGACGTGCTGAAGTCAAAACACCCCCCTCCGCTTGTCGAAAACCTCACCTGGCCACGGCTCGACGAAAACTGCAGGCCACCGACAGTCGATTTCGCTACGTTCGCGAAGCTGCTCTCTCGCTCCGAAAATGGAGTTGGGGCAGGCCCCTCGGGGATGACTTTCGAGCACCTTCGCGATGCCTCGCTGTCCAACCCCACCGTCGCCACAAATCTTCACCAGCTCGTCCACCGGTTACTCGCGGGTAACCTGCCGCACGAGGTCAGCCAACTCGGTACCTCCTCACGCCTCCTGGCCCTTACCAAGCCCGATGGGGGTACCCGCCCCATCGCAATAGGAGAATGTCTCCACCGGCTAGCAGCAAAATCCGCGCTAATCTCCGCCACGCATTCCGCGCAAGACTACTTCCTACCACACCAATACGGGGTGGCCATCAGAAGCGGCGGAGAAGCCATCATCCATGCCACCAGGGGCTTTACCTCAGCGCGCCCGGGCTCACTCATCCTACAAGTCGACCTTTCAAACGCCTTCAATAGCGTTGACCGCGCGGCCATCATCCACGCAATCAACACCTCGCCCCTGCGCCCGCTCCTCCCCTTCATACAATTCTCCTACGGAGCACCGTCCCTGCTCTACCTCGACGCTGAGTTCGACAGCCCACCCCTACTCAGCGCGCGGGGAGTTCGCCAAGGGGACCCAATGGGCCCCCTCCTCTTCGCAGCTGCCATCCACCCAGCGCTCCAGACAACCGCCGCGGCCCACCCCGAGGTCCTCTGCCTCGCGTACGCCGACGACATCACCTTCGTCGGCGATCCGGACGCCTGCACCTCGGCGTTCCTCAATTTCACAGCGGCCATGGACCGCATCGGTCTCTCCCACAACCCCGCGAAATGCGCGGCGTGGTCAGCCGAGCACCCTGCACCTGACCGCCTTCCCCCAGGCATACCTTTCAACACAGAAGGCGTCCGCGTGCTTGGCAGCTTTATAGGCACAGCCGAGGGCACAGCCGCATTCCTCCGCACCCAGCTAGCCCTGCTAGCCGAACCCCTCGCCACACTGGCCACCATGGACCCTCAGTCCTCATCCCTCCTCCTCACACGCTGCGTATCTCGGCGTGTCTCATACTTAATCCGCACCACCCCCCTTGACTTCCTACCCCTGGACGTCTGGTCCGACTGGGGTCGGGAGCTCTTCTATACCCTCCTGCGTGCCTGCAACCTCCAACCACCTCGGGGCGAGGTGGAGCGAGCGCGCACTTGGGATCAAGCGTCCCTCCCTCCCTCTCTTGGCGGACTGGGTCTAACCGACCCCGCAATTGAGGGATACCCAGCCTACCTCACCAGCCTCACCCAAGCCCAGGGCCTCTTGGCTGACCTCCCAGCAGCGTCAGGAGGGCCCCTGGCCGACGCTGTCCGGCACCTCACGCCACCTTTCACCAGCCCACCCACTTGCATACCTGGCTGGCGAAGTGTGAAACGGCGATGCCCCCACGAGCCCGGGAGCTCCTGCACTCCGAGAGGACAGAACCCTCCGGCTCCCCACTCCAACACCGCTTATCCCTCGAAGTCCAGGCCGTGCGATACGCCGGCCAGGTGGCAGCCACGCGGACAATGGACCCAAACCCACTCTCTGGGCACACCCAACGCCTCTTTTCCCTGGCTGGATATGGAGCAGGGGACTGGCTTCATGCCATCCCCATCTTCCCATCCCTCCGCCTCGAAGCTCCACACTTCGCCATTGCCCTGGCCTTCCGCCTCGGCCTTCCATTCCCAGCCCCCCGCACTTGCAACTGCGCCGAGGAATTCGAAATCCTCGACACCAGGCTGCCCAACCACCTGCTTCGGTGTGGCACCGGGCACGGACGGACGGACACCCATAATGCTCTACGGGACGAGAGCATACGGATGGCCCGAGATGCTGACTTTATAGTCACCAAGGAGACCACCATCTACAGCCCCGTTGACGGCCACAAGGCCGACCTCGCCCTCCGAGACCGCAGTTCCGGAGCCGTCTGGATCTGTGACGTCACTGTCACAGATCCCATCAGCAGCCGGGACCCGGACGCTAGAAAAGGACGCGGATACATGGCCCGGGAGCAAGCCGACAAGAAAATCTCCCATTACCGAAATCGGGCTCCGTATGTCGGATTTTTCCCACTTGCAGTCGAGACATACGGCTGCCCCTGCGCCGAGGTCCCTACCTTCCTGAAGCTACTGGCTGACACAGGGGCCAGGAGACTTTTCAATGCGGACCCCAGCTCCTACCAGGCAGCGAAACTGCTCCACCAGTTCCGCCAACGCTGGTCAGTGACGCTGCAACGGGCACAGGCCTTGGCTTACCTGGGCAAAGTTAATGAAGCCTCCCCTGCCCCCCACACCCCAGTGGGCACCCATGACGCCGACATGGCCCCTGGGGACTGCTTTGCCATAGCAGAGCCCCTCGGGGAGCTCGAGTAGATTCGAGCCCTTAACCGTGCACGTACCTTGACTTGCTGCCCCTTGCTTGCCTAGCCTGTACTCAGTTTTCCCAAACAATAAACGGACCGCTTGAGACATGAACACGTGAGACGTGAACACTTGAGACATGAACACGTGAGACGTGAACACTTGAGCCCGGGCAGTGTGGAGATTGTGGCTCAAGGAGGAGCTCTTATGGCACATCCTGACAAGCCAGTCGAAGGTAGGATGAGCGGCACCTGCGCGGTCACGGGCCACGATGAATTCATCAAGCGCCAATTGGTGACAGGGAAGAGAACATGCAGGATTTACGCCCGACCTGCAGGCTGTAAACAGCACTGTTGAAGTAGGTGGGGCGGCTGACAAGTAGACATGAGCAAAGAGGCGAGGAAATCCTCGCCTCGGAATTTCGAGTTTCGAGGAGAGGTTTTTCCGGAATATCCTCGGCAAGGATTCCTCGCCTCGACTCGTCGAGGACTCGAACCTTTCCTCAGGGTTTTTAGTTGAGGAATGTTTTTCCTCGTGATAATTTTGACCCTCACAGGACGCCACTTTTCCCAGCGAGGCAAGTATTCCTCGCCCGGGGGATGGGGGGGGGGAGGGGGGGGGGGGGGGGGGGTTTGGTTTAGGGTTGAGCAAACTACCCGACCGGGTCGGGTACCCGGTACCCGGACCCGCTTTTAGGGCGGGTCGGGTATTTGAAATCCTGTAAAATACCCGGCGGGTCGGGTCCGGGTTACCCGGGCGGGTATTTGATACCCGCTACCCGAATTTCTACCCGACGACGCGGGTAGCGGGTACCCGCCGGGTCGGGTATTACATACCCGAGTTCGGGTAAGTACCCGAAGTCGGGTCGGGTATACCCGACCCGAAATCGGGTCGCGCTGCTACCCGTCGGCAGCAGCGCGACCTAAATTGCGGGGGGTTGGAAATTTCGACCATTTGGTCGAAATTTCCAACCCAACTTTCCAGATCTAGTTTCGTTTCGTCCCTACCATAGATGCGCCACCTTAATACAGCACCCGCATTAGTCTAAACACTCCCCGCATCCTAAACGTGTTCTCCCAACGTTACTTAGGGTTTAGGTAACACAAAACGGGGGGGAGAACTTGGTTGCGTGTGGGAGTTAGGGTTTTGGAGATCTAGAGTTACACGAACTATTCGCCCACTCGAAATCCTTGCCGTAGCGAATAGTTTAGGGTTCGGAACTGTCCCATCATGCAATTCTACGACGGTGACGGGCGTCCCGTCCCTTTCGGGGGCGGGAGGGTTGAGGGTGGCGGGCTCCAGAGCGGTGCCATTCCTGGAGCATCTCTGACAGGCCTCCCTCTCCCTAGCGGCCGCCAGAGTTTTGCATTGGCGAGCGGTGTCCGTGCGGATGAGGGGGGAGAGGACGATGACTTCCTGGAAGAGGTGGAGGCGGGCGATGCAGGAGGGGGGGAGCATGGGGCAACCCATGGGGGGGGGAACGGTGGGCAGGGTGGTGGAGGGGGGGGGGGGGGGCGAGGGTGACCAGGAGTGGCATCCCAATGCGGAGGAAGAGGTGGATGAGGTGTCAGGAGATGGACCGGACAAGGGGAGGGGGAGGGGAAGGGGGAGGGGAAGGGGGAGGGGGAGGGCGAGGGGAGGGGCAGGGGAAGGGGGAGAGGGAGGGGAAGAGGTCGCGGCCGTGGTGGACCTGGTGGGGGGAGGGCAGGGGCGATTGGTGCCGGCAGTGGCAGTAATAGTGCGGGGGGAGCTGGAGGTCGGTGGTGGGGATGCAGCGCGCTTTGGGGATGCTGAGGGCGTGGGGGAGGGGGGTCATGCGGAGTGTGGTACGCCTGCGCCGGGGCGGCCTGTCATCCCACGTGGGGGGGGAGGGGGCACGGGTGGACAGCATAAGCGGTCGCGAGCGAGCGACAGCTCTCAGGTGACAGTCGGTTATTGGGGTACTGTCCCTGGGCTTATGCAGGGGATGTTTCTTTCAGCCAGAGGGGGAGGATGGGGCGCGATGCTGCAAGGTATGCGAGGTGCCGATCGGTTGGGGTGAGAGCAGCACTGGTTCGGCGTGGAAGCACATGCGCTCGTTCCACATGCCTCACCTACAGATCTGGTATCGCCTATTCACTGATCCCAACAAGCAGCCGGGGTTGGAGTTTCCGGCGAAGGGGTACCCGGGGGTTCCAGGCGGACCAGACCCGTGGGAGCACGCTGACGCATACCCCGACCTCCAGAGTGCGGGCACGGGCGGTTCGGGTGCGAGTGTCGATGCGGGTCAACGGCAGATCCCTCAGTTCTTCGGTCGTCACGTCACGCAGGAGCGTCTGCGCCACGCTCTCATCGAGCTGTTCGCAGACGCGGCCCTTCCGTTTCGCCTGGTCGACCGCCCCTCGGTAAGAACTGACAGAGACAAGTTTCTAAGCACATGCGCTCGTTCACATCTGCGCATTTTCAACCTCCCACGTGTCGTTATGGATTACCACCCCGACCATGTATAGCGGCACTTCTGCACACGTCCACCTACTCCCCCCTCCCCCTCCCTGCCCTCCCTTCCCCAGTTCCGCCGCTACACCCGCCCTCCTCAATCCTCCCGCTGCAGAAATGCTCGGCTCCCGTTTCCGCCTCGCTCGCGACATGCTCGTGCAGAGCGAAGCCGCGCGTGAGCGCCAGCTGCAGGACATTGTCGGCGATGGTGCGGCAGGGGAAGGTCTCCCTCCACCACGGACATTTGGTCCAGCCCGGCGCAAGATGCTTTCCTTGCCGTCACAGCGCACTGGATCACGACAGACTTTCAGCTGCGTCAGGCGCTGCTAGAGTTTGAGGAGATTCAGGGATCGCACACCGGGGTGCTAATTGCAGAGACATTGGAGAAAGTCATACTGGATTGGGGGCTGAAGGACTCTGTGCTGGGCATCACGACGGACAATGCCGAAAACAACATCAAGGCACTCAAGATACTGACTGGCGACCCGGAGACCGAGGACGCCCGCAACCCACCAGTGTTGAACCCCGGATTCTTCTTCAGGTGTGTGGTGCATGACATGCCATGACGTCCCATGCCATGCCATGCCATGCCATGACATGACATGCCATGCCATGCCATGCCATGCCATGCCATGCCATGACATGCCATGACATGCCTTGACATGACATGACATGCCATGCCATGCCATGACATGCCATGCCATGCCATGCCATGCCATGACATGCCATGACATGCCATCACATGCCATGCCATGCCATGACATGACATGCCATGACATGCCTTGATATGACATGACATGCCATGACATGCCATGCCATGCCATGACATGCCATGACATGCCATGCCATGCCATGCCATGCCATGCCATGACATGCCATGACATGCCTTGACATGACATGACATGCCATGACATGCCATGACATGCCATGCCATGCCATGCCATGACATGCCTTGACATGACATGACATGACATGACATGACATGCCATGCCATGCCATGCCATGCCATGCCATGACATGCCATGACATGATA